ACACCATTTAAATGCGCCTAGCTGAACGACACACGGCGAGCCCACACAATAATGAAACAGAAGTAGCATACATGAGATAAGTTGTAAAAAAAGAATAATTTTCTTCGAAATCATCCATTGAAGCAATAGCCAATCAGGGAATATACAGTTAACACGGCCTACATTCGGAATTAGATTAGTGATAATTCCGTCGAATGTCCCTAAGGCATTTTGAGATTCACGGTTTGTCTGAGAATGCGAGAGAACGCAGTCCATCATTAAAAGAATGTAGAATACTTACTACTAGGGGTGTGCGTTTGGCGGGAACTTTACGTACGTCACCGTGGCACACTCGAACAGGATGTACTAGTTTTGTGAATAAAGTGGGTGTTGGCCTTACATTTGGGTTCCAGCAGACAAGCTACCGAGGACCATGCTTGTCAATTGCGCGTGATGCAGGACGTTACATCAAGGTATGTCGTAAGTAACAGGATTTAGTAGACTGGTTTGGTCACAAATTAGGCTATTTCATATTCTCCGGGGATAGGAAGTTGATACGAGGGCTCAATCATATAGCCCAGGGGTGGCCAACACGTCGATGGATCGCCACGTCTCGAGTAGTCGATCGCATCTGATGTTGAGTGAATTTAATAACATACCCAAATAAAATGTCTTGAATCAGTATCATTTTAGGGGCTGTTGTGTGTTTTAAAACAGGAAGAATACAGTACTGTACATGCGCAAAATACGATATATTCTTACACTATTTGAGTTTGGGCAAGTCGATAGAGCATATTATTATGTAACAAATGAGTTCCACCGCTCCCAAGGTTTAAAAATGAACTTGTCGAATATCATGTGCCTTGTCTGACTGGCAAACAATCCTACAATAACTTCTGCAGCCTGCGAAAGTTATTGTCTCACTCCAAGAGTAGTGTGATAAATTTTATTCGCAACAGTGGCAGTGACATCAGAATGCTCATTTTTTCCAATTCCAAGCGAGCGAAGAATCGTAATTAGACACTTTTAGTTTGAGAATATTTTTTGAGGAATTTTCAGCGCTTACGCCTAAAAAGTAGGCAGGCCTTAGAGTGAGTTGTATTATTTGAATAACTCCTAAATAAATTGTGAAACATTTACTCCGGGTACAATTACATAAATAAGTTAACAAATTGAATGAAACACAAAAAATACACAATTTTGTTGCGATTTCATTGAAAATGCGACTGTGTGAGCTTATTGGCATCGGTGAAATTTTTGTATGCGTGTGTGCAGTAGGTATCTGTATATTCGGAAGGCCTCCTCATTCGTTTTTGTGTATGATCTTATTACCGATCAGACGATCGCGAGCTATTTTGAAGATTTTAGTCGAAAGCAGGTTGGCCAGCCCTGTAATATAACCCTCAAATCACGGCCCATTGTCTTGTTAGTTAAGTTCGGGTATAGCAGTAGCTCGCCAGGCAGTTTGAATGAACGCGGATAGACGAAGCCATAACCGATCAACGGCTACGAAAACCACACTGCGACGGTAAAAAGTCCAGAAATTCTCTATCATGCTCTCACGTAAAATCTCAGTTAGGGTATAGCGCACGTTTTTAAATTGAATTTATGAAGAAGGTTGTTAACGATTTGCGTAATGAAAATGCAAACATTAATTTTCGTTTCTTAGAAATGAGGGACTATATAGAATTGATAAGGACTTCGACTTTGAACCAACTGAGCGCGTGCCAAGTACCTCATACATCTATGTGTATATTATGACGTCATTAAAACGTAATGTCTGTAGACGTCACACCTAACAACTGTGAGTCCAGTGAGACACTCGTAGAATCAAGTAAACCCATGAGTTTTACAATATTTGCATGTTAGATAGCCAAAGTTATTTATACATGAATTATGTGAAATTTCTTTAGTCTTCATAAAACGTTCTTTGCGCTTTCCGTGTGTATGATTAACGAACGATTCTTAATATCAAATGCTATTTTATTAGAAATTGTCACCAAATACTCATGTCTATGAAATTCATGAATGAAATTATTAGTCAGAGAGGACAGGGTAATTTTTCCAAACCAAAATTGTTTCAGGTAAAAATTTATTAATAATAAAACAAATATGAAAACAGTCGACGTGATGATCTCCATGCAAGATTACAGTACATGTTTTATTTGTGGTGGCGTAGTTTTGAAAGTCAAGCAACTGGAGTGAGTGTTCTATGTTTATTCTAGGCGTGTCATACGAATAAAAACGAAAAGTAACTGTAATAGCAAAACTACCATGTATGATCAAAATTGTTTCAGTTTCATTTTACCAACATGAGGGGAATAATTATAATGAATTGAGTAAGATTGTATATGTGATTCTTGGTTTTGTAACGAACGGGACTGTTGAAAGAATTCCCACACGTCTGATTTATTTGACCACAAGTTACATATAATTCCGCGGTTTCTAAATGTAGCTCCGTGACTACAGTGTGAAACTCCAGCATACGTTGAATCTATCACGGATATCTATAAAATAATTTTAACACGTTATCAGCGGTGTACACTTCTTTTCGCCGCGTAGAAAAAAGTCCGTTAGGTCAAATCGATGGAACAGATGTCGAGGGGGTTGGGAGAACATGTTAAGAAACAAAGGATGCGTGGAATTAAAAGAATTATAACGTCTCTAGCACGCAATGGCATTTACAATATATTTGATGAATTTTACGAGAAATGATATAATATTAAAACAGTGAAATGTTCGAAAATGGCAATGGGAAATTGCCTTTTAACGAAGTGACAATATTTGTTTAACTAAGGGACTGAGCAACCAAGGCTCGAACGCCAGATGTCTAAACTGAATAACAACATCCAAGTTTCAAAATCTGTCTTTTAGAATCATGTAATTCCAAATATTTTTAGTATATAGTATATACAGTCTTTAGCGATTTAACTTCTTTAACAATTTAAATTGGTAAATGTTGAGTTCACTTTATATGACTTCTTGTATTTTGTCGGAATTTGTCGTGTCTTACCAAACACAAATTTAGCAGAAGAGTTATATTTTGAGCTTTTTTTTGTGTTCTTACATATTTATATGCAACTGGAAATAACTTTTAAAATTCTAAAAAAATTGGTAGAATATTTTAGAAAGTTGTTACGCCCCGGTTATAACATGACTTGTGTCCTCTGATTATTATGTTGCAACATATATATATTTCATCAGCACTATAAAGCCACGTTCGTAATGGATATGCTAAGGTGGAATTCTGGCGTTTTTCTACATATATCACGAAAGCGAGTATAAAATACGTAGACGGGTCTAGTCCCGGTCAGATTAGTGAATTTGGCGCGTTCACTGGAATTACCTTTTTCTGGAATTATTTCTTAAATAGTGCTGTGGGCTATCAGTTTGAAATTTTGCACCGGTCTGGGATTCAGAACCAATTTTGAACTCGTCGAAGTTGGAAGTTTTGATTTTCAAAAACGGAGTCATAAATTTTGTCAACTCGAAGTTTATTTTTAGTCTAAAACTTTTTTGTGCTATTATTTGCGCTACGATTGGAAATTTCAAACTTTTTTCCTGGAAATCATCTGATGGTTTGGAAATGTTGATTTGCAGAATTATATATTATTCCAATTTGTCTACGTGATGTCGCCATAAATACACATGAATAACGACGGCAAATCTGCCAATTAAGATCGTCTTGGCTGCTTCACAATCGATACTAATATTGTTATACTGAAGCGTAATTTGCATATAGTTGCATTAGTTATTTGTTCGTTCCCAAACCTCCCTAGTTAAAGGTAGAACCGATATGGGTCATTATTTTCAAATGACAGAACTCGTCCCATTTTTTATGATTCTGGAAAAGTGTGAATGCGTATGCGTTTGAATGCCTTTTTCTATAATTCAAATATTGAACTTCAATTGGAATTCATCATGATTAAATTAAGATTTGATTAAATTAAGATTTGATTTATGGCATGCATATATAACGTGAGATATTAATGACAACGCCAACTTAGATTTAATTAAATAGTTATTGTGTGAATATTGTTTATACCGTCATAGAGCAATCCAAAATTGCGGAAATAGTTCTTTAGAAAATTGCAAATATGTCGTTGAATTCTGAAGGAGAACTGAATTCAAAGTTGTTTCCCTGACACGGATATAAACAAATTATTACAGCTAATTGCTCGGGGACTCAGTCCGATTTAAAACATGGTTTTGTTAATATTAGAGGAGTGAAAGTCATTTAAGGGCGCTTAATTATATTCTATTCATACTTAATTATGCTTCGTATTTTGAGATATGCAAATAAAAACAGACATATATTGTATTGTTAATATAACCTGTACCAACCGACATGGCTTGTTACATAATTATGATTAGCCACAAGCTAACGTGACTGTTATGTAGCGAATCTTGCTAAGCAAAAGCCGCATTCCGTTCTCACTTTGGCGTTAACCTTTCTCGTTATTTTATTGCATTTTAGTACTGTTTAGCTATAAGCATATGCACCACACACATTGAGTGATATTGTGTTGGGTAATTGTCCTTGTTGGTTCCCAGGTGGAGTTTTACAATTTTGAATGACCTAGTAAAATTCCAGGGTTACTTAGAGTTGGATAAAAAAAGTCTATTGTCATTGAATAGGTTTCAGATCGCGCCACAATGATCAGTGTTATTTTTCGAAGAATGTTGAACACAAGACGTAATGATAGTCGTTGTAACGTGTGGCGTGATCGTCGTAATATTTTGTACGTAATTCAAGTAAAATTGCTTATAATAATTTCATTTTTATACCAGCCGTCAAAGAAAATATTCAAAAATTAGTTACGACAAACGAAATACAGTCTGTTGGATTTTGAATGTTGAAGAAAGGCTTACGAGACATGAAAAAAATTCCCCGCCGCATAGACTGTGAAACTAGTAATTTGTGTTCAGTCGCTTCAACGACTGAATGGCGTAAACCGCTAGCAATGCGTTTGTTTGATTTTTTATATTGATATATTTTAGATCGAAGTATATTATATAAACTTCATAATAAACTGTTACTACGAAAAATTAGTCTCAACAATTCCTGGAATACCGACTAGCAAACATGAAAGAGTACAATACTGAAAGACCGGATAATACAAACCAGTGCCTGCGGTACAGAAAGCCTCGAAAGCCGGCGGGCCAGTGTACTACGGCTCACGCCTCAACGAACACAACATCGACGAACAATTTTGTTAACGCGCAAATAAATAAAAAACCTTGTTCAAGGAACTATGCAACAGATTTTAAAATGCGACAAAAATTCAAGACGACGATAATAACTGCTTCAATGTTTATTATTATTTTATTCACGTCTAACAATCGTTTTATGACCCACGCAGCAGTGGCAAGAATACCACGATTTCTAGGTGAGTTCTTATTGTTCGGTTTAAGTTTATTTGTTTTTATTTGCTATATTATTTCATTCATATTATTTAGATATCCATGAATTAATATCCCTGAATAATAAAATTCCCTTTCAGCACCTGAATACTATAGAAAATAATTCGGGCAGTTTTTAATTAAAATTAGGTATAACTCAGACCAATAGGTTTTGCGCGAGTTTTATTTAATAAACAATCAATAAATCAGATACAACGCAAAATTAGGTAGTTTTTTATTTAAAAATACAATACAAAATTTTCCACATACTTTATTCTGTATCATCGTAATTTATATATAGCCATCTAAGAATACTCAAAATTCGTGCTGTGTAATATTTGTCTAAATTTTTTTCTGCGTCACATATTTTTCAAATCCATTGTACTTGAATCACAATGAGTATGCTTTATTTTAAAAAACCGCATTTCTCGAATACGCAGTTTTATTCAAAAATTTCGCTATGTTTACGATGAGATACAGTAAGTGAATATGAATTGCGAGACAGCTATGTAAGCAATTTTCTCCTTTGGTAAGAATCATGGCTAGTGATCTTTCAGAACCATGACGTGACAATTCTTAGTCAGTCTGGTTCAGATTTAATATTTAAACAGTATTCTGCCGCGCTCGTAGAACGCGGAAGAGATCGCTCATAAAATTGTGTTGACCGTGGTATTGTGATTCGTGATTTACAACAGTACTCCAACTCATCTATATTAAACATGGAACATACATACAATCCAATTCATAATTGGATCATCTTTGCTTACACCACCGATATAACCCAGATTAATTGACTAGATAAATACTCTAATAAAGTTACATGCAAATATTGCATCATGTGGGTTCGTAGCAGAAAACGCTTCATACTTCATATGAAATAAATAATAGATAGGGTTTGAAATATTTGAAACGTTGTTTCACGTTTATAACAGTTTTTGGGCCTCTAAACAATGCTATCTATTATATTCAGTTTTAGCCTGGAATGCATAAAAAAAGATAAGCAATTTTTGCGGTTATTCATAAATTGTACCTGTTCCTTGTTGGGTATATGTCCACTGTACCACAGTAGATGCGTGCGAAGGATTAATACAACATAAATCGAAAACAAAAGATGTTCTCAGTTCAATATTATCCCTTCATGCAATTAAATACCGCTCCTAACCGGAATATGCGGTTCTTGTTTGCAGTTCTGCTCAAAACCGACAAAATATTGACAAGGACAAGTGGGTAAATAACGTCGATTAATTCCTGTGAACGGCGACAAGCCTTGCGGGATTTGAGTTAAATTCAAAATCGTTACTCTAAAAGGAAAGCTAACCTATAATTTCAAAGTATATTTTTGAGAAACAGTTAACGCTTTCTCATCATAAGTAATTATCATACCAAAAGGTTTTATTAACGCCAATTAGTAATTTCAAAATTCGTTTTGGACAAAGTCTTTTCGTTTTTTACTGAATTTTATTAGTCTGGCATTGGACTTCGTGTCGAACAAATATTGACTAATTTCTGTTTTACCATCTGACATCTGTTTAACATATTCGCCCTTTCAGGTTCATATTTGGTGCGATAAGCTATCCTTTGACTATATTTAGAGTTTTTAGCATAATATCACTCACTCCATTGATATAACAATGATTATAAATATTACTTTTCAACTAATTTAGCAGTTTGTTAATTAAAATGTAGGAATAACCTAGCGGTAGAAGCAAATTATGCGAAAGAATTTTTGTACACTTTTGCTGCGGTAGTTAAACTTTTATTTCTATACAATTCATCCACATACACACCTAGTTTTGAGGTTGTGAAGCCATAAATAGAATATATTGAGGTGATAATGTTGATTTTTGATGTTTTGAAATGAACTGGTATTTATATTTCGAAAGTTCAACAGGTGCTGAACGAAATTTCAGGCGCGTTTGACAGTGCGCCGTGGTTACCGCAAATCAACCTTTGAGACGTTAATGAAAACGAATTGCCACGCATCTGTGAAGTATATTTGTGCGGCCGAGAAAAGAGAAATCAGGGAACCGATAAACATTTCAGTGACCAATTTACTAGAATGTATAGAATCAGCAGACTTGACCCAAACACTAAAACAAAGTTGTGATTTGAAAAAATAAATAAATTGAAAATCGAAATAGAATAATCGTTTAACTTCGAATCTGGGTAGTTGACGCACTTTTGTGTATTTATATGGAAGAACTAGTATCAATTCTCAAGTGTGTAAACCGTTTTATCGAATTCTAGGTAGCGCACCTTGAACCTGGTAAGGAATCATTTCTGTCAATAAAGGAATTCAAACTCATCGCATGGATAATAAAAAAAGGCGTCAGGCGTATTAGAGTAATAATGCTGTCTATAGTTATCATAGCCACCAGTTCATGTGAGTTCGTTGGCGTCGACAAGTTTATGTATATTCAAACTTTCTGTCTGGCCACAGTCTGGGGTTCGCCTTCCTCATGTGACAGTATTTCCAAGTGATGAACGGATCGCGTGAAAACCCAAGGATTTTAAGTACAGGTTAATGCACTTAGAAAAGTTAAACACGATCATTTTTATCCGTAAATTGATGAAAAATGTTAATTTACTCTATTCTAACGAAAGTCGCGCATCGCTACCGACTCCAAAAATATTCAGACAAACGTACGATCAATACGAAATTGTAAAGTGTTCTCGTTTAATCAAAAGAATACTGTATAATTTTCGATCAAATATGGGTCCCAACGGACTCGAGGAAATTAAAAAAAATAGACTTCTAGCGACTTATTCCATCCTTAACTACTGAAAATTTGATTGTTCCACTGATAAATGCGAAGAAAAAGGATTTTAACAACATCATGGATTAGAAAAACAATAATGATAAAATTCAACTCACAGAAATATTATTGAGAAAAATAGATACCTCATTATGACTATAGGCTAACACTGGCTTTGCAAAAAAATATGCAAGTTGTTTTGAGAAAAACCTCGCTTTCTGATAGGTTCGCATTGTAAAGAAAAAAATGCAAACTTAAAGTATGTTACGATGTATATTCATTTTTACAAATATGTTTGAAGATCAATTTACGCTGTAACAATGTATCCTTCATCGTCTTGCAAGTTGTTATATTTCACAAAACGAATGGATTTGTGGTGTTACATACGTCACAGACACAGACAGACTATGATTCGTTTAAATCCTATTTGGTTCATATTATGTCTCAAGTTCTTATTTGCATCAATGTTAATTCGTTAAGGTACTTTAAGTTAAATCCTTTTTCGATGTTTTTCTCAATTTCTATAATTCCACCAAATATGCTTTCAGTGTCCACATTAATGATACATCGTGGTAGGTCTTGTTATTGTGCAAATATATAATTGAATGAAATAATGACCCAAATCCATCCTGTGCGTCTTTTCATTATTATAAAATTGATGTTTTCAACGGATATAACATTTTTAACCATCTTCGAAAAACAACACAAATATCCTACGAATAACAACCGATAGTTTTTATTTTATTGATTTGCACAATACAAGGCAAACCTCCTTTTGATAAACGAAAAACAATCTCTAAAAATACAGCATCAAGACGTCAGTCACCTCATTCCTTGACGACCGCTTTTAATGGTATTCATTTTCAAGAAACACACAATCTCTCCAAAAAGAAAGAAATTTTTAGCAGTAGAAAGTTAAAAGCATCCACCGCTTTCGGCAGATAATAGGATGTTGACTGTCGAATTGCCGATATGATGGAACCTCAGATATCGGGGCTATGATTAATCAATTTACCGGATGATGCCGATATTGGGTCGAATCGTTGTTCACCACAGTTAACGGTATCGCAAAATGCAAAAAGCCTGTGGTTTTAAAACGGCCGCGCATTCGATGCGCAATGAGATAGATGTTGCACTGGTTTCGAATAAATTTTAATTCCCATTTCCGCGATTTTGACAGCCGTTTTGGGATTGTCACCTTTCAATACGGCAAAAAGCAGACACCGTTTAACCTCTGATTTCGTGCCAAGTTCTTTGATGCCGTTCTTGAAATGTTCATCAGTTTAAACAGGTATTTATTCTTGTTCTCGAAGAGCATAATGCGGTTGTTTTAAGGAGATGCTCAGATAAGTCTTATATGTACATAGTACTGAGTAAATGTATTATGGCAACAATACGTGTCGACCCATGTAAACGAAACGTTCGTTATATCGCGCTTCAAAGAAACTGAAATAAATGGCTTGCTCTAAGCGATTTTCGATACTAAAAATGGCATTCAGCAATCTATGCTTTGTACCAACAGGTTTCCAAAATGATCGATCAAAATGAAACATTTTATAAACCTATTTACTTTTGAGACTTCTAATTTTGATTTGAAGGAATAAAGTTATAAAAAGGAACATAATAAAAGAAAAAATTATCAGTTTACAACTTATTGGAAAAGAGCAGTGGAAGTTAATTTGTATGCCAACTAACACGCGACAAACTGAAAAGCGGAAAATTTTTTCTGCCGCCAAATTAAAAAACATTACCGGTACTATCTTATTTCTATTGCGGGTTCTTTATTGTTTTCCGAAGCAACTTTACAATTTTTATGTTCGATAGTTTCTCAATAGAATCATACAAAAGTCGTTGCCTACTAGACACAAATCCAATTGTGTAACTTCAATAATAATCGGTTTCAAGCAACCAGAAATCATGCGGTCGCAACTCATTGAACCAAATTGAAAAGGCAATTCATTTCGCTGCAGTTCCATATTGCAGAATACATTCATCGCCGTGTGACTCATATAATGAATATGTTTGCCACTTATGTGAACCCAGTAGATTGATATCATAATGAAAAACTGACTAGGATTTATCAAATAGTGATGAAGCTATTTGCATATACTTTTGCTTATTCGATCAAACACCCACGGGGTTCAAATGATTTTCAATTAACTCTGAAGAGTTTTATTTGCGATTGAAATGCTATCTATTTATGCAACAGTGAAACGGATCTTATGATGAAAACTTAAATAAAAAATATATTTGTTCCTGTTCAGTTATAATCATAATATTATAAATATGAGGTATTTTTTATCTTACCAATTAAATTTATCTAGTATCAAATTCGTGGAAATGCTTTCTATGTGCAGCTGCCTAGATATAAAATGAATAATCATAAACAGCTGTGTTGTTATATATTATATTGGATTATCAATGTTTTCCATTCAAATAACTGTTAATTTCAATTTAATTTATCGAAGTATATATTATATTTTTCATAATTATGCCAGACGAAATTCATAAATTTCCGTATTTCTAAATTTGTTATATTTCTATATCGATCGCATTTTTGAGAATTATGGGGAAATAATTATACAATTCTTTCCGAGTATCAAACTATGAGCAACGACGCTTTCTGTTTGAAAGATTGTTTCATTCATGATACCCAAACAAACTCACTCTATTTTATTATAGTACTTATACTCACCGAAAAGCAAAAAACATTATCGTTTGCTATGAGTACAGTCTTTTTCAAATGTGGTCTAACGAGCTAAAAGTTTTTTAATTTATTTTATACAGATATTGAGCAAGCTCTCGAAAGCAGCAAATGCACAGTAAGAGAAGAGGTTGTGGATATAAGAAAAATTCATCCGACCCTACCACCAAATGCAATCTATATGCCTTCATGTGTTGTCGTGAATCGTTGCTCGGGATGTTGTCAGAGTGATTTATTGCAATGCAAACCAACATCTACATATGTTACTAAAGTTAAGGTAAACGCAAAATTATAAATATATATATAAGAACATGTCCAAGTTGGTATATGCGTAACAAATCAGAACGAAACCGAACAGATTAAATAATTATTCAATTTTTTCCCTTCACTGTTTGTTTATCATGTTCACTGTCGTCTCCGAGTCATAATTAAGCTGATTCTTATAGTGGAGGTTCCGTGTTTAGTGTACCGACGTGGCGTGAAGGGTGACCCCCCAGAACAGAACTCATAACTTATGAGACATTATTTAACACGTGAGCCTCTGTTTGTGCTTGATTGTACCCAAACATTTTCAGTAATCTCGGATGCTTTGCACAAAAGTTATGTTCTCTCTAGGATATGTTCCAAATGACTTTTTTTCAACCTGTACATGTGGTTGTGTGACGTTATTCCATTACCTCTCCGTTCAAATGTTTATCATGGCTAAGTTTATAAAATCATAATATATATATAAAACCATTCTAGATATCGCAGCAGATGTTAGATCCACATGGTTACGACGAAATAGTTTTGGAATTCACTCAACACGATACTTGTGAATGCAAAAGGTAAATAATAAACACAATATCTTAGTTAGCTTTCATACTTTGTAAAAGACAATAAATATATTAAATATCATTGCGAAACAAAATTGAGGGTATTAAGTAAATGAGCGCAATAGATTTTTAGTAGAAATTGTCCCACAACGGAAGTTATCGGGATCTAATTTTATACTTTCAATCACTGGGAAAAAACAAACGAAATTGGTTCAAATTCTGTATAGCAGTCGGTAACGCACAAATGCTGTGGAATCTTAATGGCTCGCGCCTTTAAGCAGTCTATATCCACGTCAGACTCCGCACAATACCACCCATTCATCATAACTGAATGTATGCGCGTGGATGTTCGGTAATTTCGAAGAATAATCCCTACGCGGATTAATTTGCTGGAAGTCGAATTACTTGCATGAATACACTCGGTGAAAAATAATTTGACTTGACCTATATTTGATTCATGGTTAAAGAAATGAATACCAGATTAAAAGTGTCATTCTGTGTATTTCCTAATTATATGTAAAATAGTCATTCGTACATTTTAGGTTTGATGACACCACACCTGTTTGCGTTCAAAAAGATTGTGAAGGCGGCCAGGTATGGAGTGCCCAAGACTGTGCATGTGTGGCAAGATCGGCAAGTTTATGTCAGCCACGAGAATGTGGCATCGGTGAAAGTTGGAGTGATGCTACGTGTCAGTGTGAACCTGCCTGTGCACCACGTAACTGTATTCCGGGTGAAATGTGGAATGCAACTTCATGTTCCTGTGTACGTACTTGCCCCATAGAACGTTGTCCATACGGTCAAATGTGGGATATATTTCAATGTGCGTGCGTGCAGAGGTGTCCAGCACAGGAATGCGGAAAACACCAATTTTGGAACCCAGAAAGATGCCGATGCCAGTGCAAGCCTTGTCATCCACGGCGGGTGTTCCACGCTCGATTCAATCAGAATTTGCAAACTTGTCAATGCACTTGTCAAGCAGAACCACATGGAAGGGCAGTTGCAGGAGGAGAGGATATGATTTCGATACAAAAACGTGCACGTAAGTTGGATTCCATTATGTTTCGTTCTCAGCTTTCTAATGGGGGAGTTAAATGCATGATTGAAAATATATATAAATAAATTAAATATTATTACACATTATTGCGATTGTTACATTTTAAGTCGTTTCAATTGACGTCGTTTTTACGTTTCGTCAAAAAACCCTTGATATCGAAACAGACTTGTCTGTAAAGATGGGCTTTTTCCTAGATGCTAATGAAACTATTTGACACTTTGTTGGATTTACTATTATATATATACTATACTTTTGATGGTGAGGTGCGGTTAGATGTACGACCATAACTAATACAGACTACAGTTGTTTACTCATGTACGCCTTTAGTTACTGTAACTTTATTTAATAATAATCTCAATTTTAGTTTTGCTCCATTCATAGTTTAATCAGCACCAACTGACATTTGTTCACTCTTCAGGTGTGACTATCCTTACGCAAAACATAGGGGTAAAAGAGGATGACGAACATCACAATGGTTTCAAATCATTGCTCTGCTTCGCAATGATTGCACTCGTGTTGTAAAAAGGTGTTGTGTACCCCATAAAGTTTGGTAGCCAGCAGCCTTCGAAGGAAGCACTCAGCACTGCTACTGCTGTTGTTCACAATTCACCGTCCTGTTTTGTCAACACTTCAGGCTGGAATTGTCTAGATCACGAACTTCTATTTCAAGAAAAGTTGGCGCAGGATTCAATGCCATTTGCGTTTATTTGCAGTTCCCTCTGAGAATCATGACTTTGGAGACATGTCAGCGTGCAATGCACGCATTGCCACAAAACCACCGTTTGTTTGATTCCAGAGAAACATGGAAAACTCCCAAAATTACCAGGTGCAAATCGGTTGCCATGTTTTACGTGCGACTGGAACGAAATCCCATGATAACAGTTTCGCTGAAATTCAATACTGATATGAAATACTACAAAAAACCTCCATCAAATGTTATATTTCTCGGTAATTATCTTTATAACCTTGGTGAACGAACGAGTCTATTTATAAACTATCCTACATAAGCCATTCCATCTTGCCAATAGACTGGGTAAAATATTTTTTTCAGTATGTTTATTAATTGTGGACGCAATGAGAGTATGACGATGCTCTTTCAGTAAACACTGTAACATTTTACCGTGCATATAATGTGTGCTCTACTGGATTATCTTTAATTGCCGCCGAACGTGACCGCTTAACAGCTTTAAGCTGCTTCAACAGTTCCATTCATGCGTTGAAGAATTTACAGTCTGGGTCGAGCAAATATTACCTGATGCATTACTAGAATCAACCGATTTTTATGGCGAAGTGGTTTACAATCTATGTGCAAATAAATGTACGGTGCAGACTGATGAATACTTTTGGACTCAAATGCAAGCACACCATTTGGCGAATTTTTGTAATGAGTTTGATAGGCTTGAAAGATTTCTGAATTTTTATAATTTTTTTCAAGTATACTTTCTTGTGTGCAAATATAATTGGATTCTTCCCGTTTTTTTTTAAATGTACCAATTTAAAAATATGAAACATGATTCCAAAATTATTATTGTGCATAGCGTAATCCTTCACAAACATGAAATGAAAAAATGTTTCCTGTTATAATACCATTAATAAATTAACTGTTTTTCTTTTAAATGGCTAAGAAATTGCTAACGCCACATCACCATTTTGGCCCATTTCTTCTGGCCGACATTAGACATAATTTTGGTTTCCTCTAAAAGCTTGGACAAAAATCAGATACAATAAAAACTTGCATATTTCAGAGCCATATTGCTAGGTATTATTTACGGGTAGAATACAATATTTTTCCAGTGGTGGAGTAATGAGTCATCCTCAGAGGTGAACGTCTATGCTATTTGCATAATAGTAATAGTGGCCAAATAAAATATACTAACAAAAGTTCCAGTATTAATATAGAAATGCATATATATATATATATATATATATTATTATTACTGTTATATATATTTTCTGTTCTAACTTATTTATTTATACAATAATCTATCGGTTTGAGTACTATCGTTTTAAATATATTTAAGTTGCGCTTTTAACTCATTTGCGTTGTTTATTTATTGTAAATTACATGTTGTTTAACCCCTTTATTATATAATTTATTGCTGTTAACAATATTCACTTCGTTTTGTAAGTGGTCTGTCATAAATAAATAAATAAAAAAAGTCATTAAAAAATTTTCCATAATGGAACTGGAAAATTCACAGTTACTATGCAGATCATATATCTTCAATCATGACTAAATCACAAGGAACTTAGAAATTTAGACAGTGTAGTAATCGTCCAGGTATTTCGATAATCTCATGTTTGACATTTTTGAGTCAAAACTCCAGTGACCCCAGAAACTTTGACCCTTAGTAAAGTTGCCCCTAAACAAAGTCTTTTGACAAACTAGACAACCACAACGAAGCCGGAATTGTTCACTGAATAAGTTTCTGGGATAAAGTTTTTCAGTTCACAATTACAGATATCGGGTTACTCGTATGCCATTCCTCTGGCTACTCGTACAATTTGTCGCAAAATATCGCTTAATATAAACACAGTCGTCACGAGACGGGTCAAAATCGGAATCGAGAAAAGGTGGATTCCGCTAAGTAAAATGTGTACGTACGTACAGTGAAAAACACGCCGTTCCAATAACAAGCAACTGATATTTTTTGGATGTCCCGCGGTGTTGCATTAATCATGATCATTGCTTTATGACCTTGTATACAACCTATAGATTTTATGAGAAAGGGAAGATGGAGAAGAATTCGAGACTATTAAATTCGTAAGTTGATAGTAATAACACCATAAAAAGGGTGTCTGGAGGGTATGCGGCAACGTAATGAATATTAATATGAATTATTAAAATGACATCGAGCAAGAGACAATCCATCCCAAGATATCAAACGTAGACAAATTCCACAGCAATGGAGTCGAGTGATTTTAATAATGGAACGCATTGAAACCTAATGACTATTCACAATATTGAATGTTCAATAATTACACTCAAATACTTTCGAAATTTGTGTATTTTTTCATATTATGCATGCCAATGGTATCTAGGATTACTTGGGTGATCTCGGTCGAGGGATTACGTCTGACATTTAAATGACCTCGATGACGGATTATGAATATAATATGACGCATCAGCATTCCAAGGTCGTAGATTGAACTTTGTTGTCAGAATATGCAAGACTGAAAATTGCTCGTAGTCGAGCATGGGCCGAAATATTTAGCGGTATCCAGTCGGCACGATATACCAGTAGTCACTCACAAGCAAATATTCCTGTCTGTCTTGTCCCGGTACACGAAGAGTGTCCGAAAATTCCCTTTTTACTAATAAGAAAGTACTTGCTTGCAACGGTAGTTTATATATTTAGTGTTCGTTATGCTCATATTAAAATTAGATGAATGTACTTAAATGTATAGCATTCATACAATGGGACTTGTGTACCATAATTAGGGCTGATCATTTTCGAATACCTGATGATTTTAGAATCGAACCGAACATATAGAACAGTGTTTCCCAACCCGAGTCCGCGGTCTCAAATGAGTCCGCGAAGCGTTTAAATGAGTCCGCAACGAGCCAAAAATTCACTGCGGGCCGCAAACGTTTTTGCAGAAGTTAGCTATTAGCCAAGTTACGATTTACGTTAAAATTCACATAAAACATAAAAAACAATTTTATTCACATAACATTAATCAAGTCAATTAATAATACTAGTTACTGAGTATGGCTGGGCATATATTAAAATATTCAACTATTAGAATAGAAATTCACTATTCGAAAATTTGGTAACAGGTGACACGACAGGTCAAAACGATTGGATTTCACAACTCACTTGCGAATTTCCGACGAAAACCCGAGCACACGCGTGGTGTTTCTCGCGAGTTCGAACAACGAGAAATAATTTTTTTAGTAGGTGTCAATGGTGGCAACCCAAATTTTCTAAATTAAAAATCGGCAATACAGAAAACTGAAAATAAAACGGAGAACACCATAACTTTTGTTTTATGATTGTACACGACCGATTAAAAACGCTTCTTTAGACATTGCAAATCGCAAAATTTCGGGTGATACTGTAGATTATGTACCAGGGCATTTTCCCCTAAGCCACCACATTGGTACGCACAGTACTGGAGCGCCGTAAGTGTTGTACGAACAGCTCAGATTTGTTGAATTTACAAAAATACGAATCAAAACAAAATATAATTGGGCCCATTACCACATATTTTTGTGGCCACGGTTTGTCTTGATATTTTCTGATTAGTATTGCTTTTATTTCGTCAACACAACCGCAGATTAAAATGATCATCATTGAGTTAATAATGAAGCAAGGCGGTATTTTTAATTTACAAATATACTTCAAATATATTTTTAATAAGTACTAAATCAAGTTGTACTTTGTGGAAATTTATAGCAGATAGTAGGATTTTTCTAACGACGATAACAAATTTGCAAGATCTCTAAGAGTGTGTATCAAAACTATATATATCCAAATATCCGATTTTGAAACTCGTTCAAATTCCGTTGTGTTTAGTTTTATTGCTTCTTCACACAGAGTACGGTTGCAATAAACGCACCTTGAGTCCGCAAAGGTTTTCGCCGGTGAGAAATTTGTCCGCGACTAAAAAAGGTTGGGAAACGCATGTCACTTTTTCTTGTAATGGAACCTCTCAACACATGAATTACTAAAACATAGAATCCACCACTCCTGCGGTTCGCCTAGTGTTCACACACACAAAAAGACACGTTTTTCAATAACTCACATGGACGAAGAGTCATATATTCAGGACTGAATATTAAAAATATTTCTTCAATAAAAAATGGGGTAATTTTCACCTCGGCCTCTTGCAGACAGAAAAATGATGCGATTTGAAATTTTGTCTGAATCGATTTGAATAATTCCCTATTCGATTCGGTATGCCCAGCCCTAACCATAATATTTAGATCGGGGTGGTCCAAACCCAGGCCCGCGGGCCACATGTGGCTCGCCGCTTCATTATCTGTGGCCCGCATCACATTCGGAGAGTAATCAAATCGCATTTCGTGTTGTTTCGTCATAAAATTAATCAGAAAAATATTTTGACGTATTGTCATCCCTATTGTTACTGAATTAAATAGGGTTATGGATAGCTGGGGAAACAAGCGAATTGGAATGACGTGCTTGGCGGTCTAAATTGTTATCTGGCTTTTTAACTTTTTGGTCGGGAATATATGCAAACAATATAGGCATCATAGAAAACTAAAAATCGAATGCAGATTCTATTAGCCTAGAATGGCTATGCCTGATAACTATGTGTTTGCACAATAAAGGTGTTCTTTTGGTATTGCACTGTTTACTTATTCTTGGCACTATTGTGGCCCGCGAACAATGCAAAAATAATTTTGTGGCCCGCGGAGCCGACAACCTTGAACCACCCTGATTTAGATGATACGCCATCAAGCCCTCAAACACAAACTTATATCATTTAAACTGATTTATACGGCGTATAAGATTGACAAATTGACACAATGGACTGTTGAACGTAATTGGAACGTAATTTAAAAATTAAACTTGGGCTTTGCAGATTTGAACATCTGACTCATGTTTAAAGTTGACTTGGGTTTTAGTTAGATTTACCATACTCCCAGCTTTGGGCGGGACAGTCCCGCTTTTCAGCATATTGTCCCGCCGTCCCGACAAGTCAGCCAAAAGTCCCGCTTTGGCGTTCAGCCATCCAGCATTATACACGAACATGTTCTCGTTACTGTTGTTGCTGTGTAGCGCTAGCTCACTTACTGAAGGTGAATGCGTTATTTTGTTTGTTCCGTTGTTTACCGCTGACATTGCTATAGCGAACGTATCACATGTAAAATCAATTCTAATTGGTCCTGTTCGGACGTTCACGTGACTGTAACATTGAACCAATGACATTAAACAACATGATAGGCAACTCTGACGTCACTCCATAAGACTACAGGCAAAACATTGTATTTCATGATACGCTCCAATGCACATATTTCTCGTCGCCTTTCGCGTCCGTTTTCCGCTCGCTTTTGCTACTCGGCGTCTTTTTTACGTGTAGTACCTGCCTTTTTGCGCCTGTAACGAAACAAAATAATCTCTATATCTAAGAAGTTTTGCTTACTTGGAAAGCTGGAATAACAGGCAAGCTGTAAAGAGCAATTCTGGACATCATAGACGTTTTTTTTATCAGAGAAGATTACAAACGCGATAGCGGAAAGATTTGTGTGGAACATTTTGCAGATAATGACAAAGTTCAAAGTTAGTAATTTTAATGTTTGCGCTTAATCATTGGAATTTCATTTAAAGAGGGTGTCATACAAAACTGTGCTGCGATACAATTCCATAACACAAAGTTTGCACCTATCGAACTTGCTTTTGTAGGTGAATTTATTAGACATATTACATATTCAGTTAATCGTAGGTAACATTGCTGGTACATAATGCATCGTAGATAGGTTTGTTTAAATTTAGGAATTTAGCTCATAGCCCACTAATTAATATTATCTTCTATGCAGGAGGTTGCAGGGCTGAATTCAACTTGCAGCCTTACCGATCACCTGACGATGCTCATTTAGTTTGGCTCGAGCAAGTCTTCTTGAAATGCTTGTGTGGATGGAAACTACCTATATTTTTGGCCTTCCTCCGATTTTAGACAAATTTATTCTGAGGAATTTCGCATATAATTCTCAC